TTTTGGGAGGACAGCCAAATACCTGAAAAAATATGGGACTATGGGGTCCAGCTTCTGACACCTCTGGGCCATTGGTCCTTTCCTTAAAGGGAACTCTGCAATTGCTTGCAGGGGCACTGCGGGTTAATAAGCCCTGTCTTGGGGGGCATTTTTATAGGTGTAGAAGAGGTCAAATGTTATCTCACGTGGTGGACACCATGCTCCCACTCTTCATATTGCCAAACTGGCCATATTATTTCACCACTACTCACTCTTCCTGTTTAAAAATGTGCAATTGAGAAGTGTTTTTGCTACTTACCATGGTCATGCTGGGATAGGAGGTTGTGATATTGTATGGCTTAAAGAGGCCAATAGAGGCTTCTGGTCAGATGGCTACCTGCCTGGGGATGGGAAGCTATATGGGGAGGGGCACAGACAGAGGGGAAGGGACTGGGGAGTGGGCTAAAGCAGGGAGGGGAGTCAAACTATATGCTGACCATAAAGCAAATATAAAAAAAAAAAATAGGGGTATCTTCTAGAGTTTGGGAAACCGTAAACTCGGATGTCCTTACAGAGCATCCCATCTCCTCACACGTAGAGAGGGGGAACCCTCCAGGGATGTTCCCGCCTTATCCCAATCTAGCTTTTCCATATTATCCTGACTTGTTACCTGGAGCTTAATAGCAACAAGGCACATAGGCCTTACAGGTTGTGACAAATATTGATGCGGGGGGAGGGTTATGGCCTTTGACCCTATGCAGGTATCTCACCACAAAATGGGTGATGTTACTTTTAGAAAGGGAAAGTTGGTTAGGTATTCTTTTGAGGGCAAGAGGGATTTGAGGGGGAGGGGAGGTGAGAGTTAAGCTTGTTGATGACTCTGATGAAAAAAGGGATGTCTTAAAAGGGTTAAATTATGTCTGGGCAGGATGTGGACCGACTGGTGGGGCTGAGGACGGGTGGACGTACACGGGATCCTGGTTGGATGGCGCGGGGGCGGGGGGGGGGACTGGTTCTAGTTGAGGTTATTCTTTTGTTGCTAGTATGTCAATTATGTATGTATATTATTCTTGTGTGGCACTCCAAATGATTTGATATATGCAATGACTGGGTACACAGTGCGGTGGATCTGAAATGAATAAAAATACATTTGTTGTAATATTCTTGGGCGGAGCCTGAGTTGTTTTTCTCAACCCACACCCGTGCGTATCTCTTTACGGCAGGGTTCTTGGGGCCCTCGTATCCTGATCTGGTTACCAAAGTAATTTCCTAGCGACTCCCATATCACGAGTTCCCTCACCTCGATAGGGGGAGGTTACAGGACATTTTTTTATTGCCCCATTGGGGTTATCCTCCTTGGGTATTTTCCCCTTTTATAACTACACACTATCTTTGCTCACACATTTTCCTCTTTATCCTCTGTCCAGGTGTATTACCTGTCTGCACCTGACCCTATTGGCCTGGGATGGAACTTGCAGGGGTAGTCACGTTGTCCCCTATCTGGGGCATCCTGAGCTAAACTACCTATTTAAGAGGCTTCTCTGGTTGTTCCAGCCTCCCTGTGTTTGGGGGTAGGGACTGGATAGCTCTTTCCTCTCCTGCCTACTTGTCCTCCTCACTTTCTTCTATTTTCTTCACCGTTCTCCACTGTCCCTTTCTGTCTCACTTTTTTGCTCTCTTAATCTACCCCAGGCTCTCTCAGGGTCCCTACTGATTTGGCCAGGGAACTACGGGTGTTGGTGTCCTTCATTTGTGCTGGGCCTGAATCAGGGGTTACTTTGGCATATCGCTGCACTCCCCTGTCTGTCCTCACTCTTAACTGCAGGGGATTAAACATATTGTAACGCAGAACTCACCTGTTGAGGGAACTAAAGAAAAAGCATATATTGGTAGCGATGTTACAGGAAACGCATTTTATGGAAGGTGCGACACCTAAACTTCAGAATGGGTCCTACCCAGTCAACTACTACAGCAGCCACCCCTTGGCCTGCAAGGCCAGAGTCGCCATCATACTCAGAAATTATATTGTTTAAATGATCTGCATGGGTGTTTTCTCTTTCTGAAAGGCATTATTACCGACACGCTGTATACATTTGCATCTCTATATGTTACCTGGCCTGGCAAAATCACCACACATGGGGCTGTAGGACAACATCACCACACTTTGCTGGTTACTGAGACGGTCCCCACCAACACAATGTTGGGAGAGGGGATACGGGTTCATCCGTATTTCTATTTATTTTCCACCATGGATTTGAGGGGGATTTTTGGGAGGACAGCCAAATACCTGAAAAAATATGGGACTATGGGGTCCAGCTTCTGACACCTCTGGGCCATTGGTCCTTTCCTTAAAGGGAACTCTGCAATTGCTTGCAGGGGCACTGCGGGTTAATAAGCCCTGTCTTGGGGGGCATTTTTATAGGTGTAGAAGAGGTCAAATGTTATCTCACGTGGTGGACACCATGCTCCCACTCTTCATATTGCCAAACTGGCCATATTATTTCACCACTACTCACTCTTCCTGTTTAAAAATGTGCAATTGAGAAGTGTTTTTGCTACTTACCATGGTCATGCTGGGATAGGAGGTTGTGATATTGTATGGCTTAAAGAGGCCAATAGAGGCTTCTGGTCAGATGGCTACCTGCCTGGGGATGGGAAGCTATATGGGGAGGGGCACAGACAGAGGGGAAGGGACTGGGGAGTGGGCTAAAGCAGGGAGGGGAGTCAAACTATATGCTGACCATAAAGCAAATATAAAAAAAAAAAATAGGGGTATCTTCTAGAGTTTGGGAAACCGTAAACTCGGATGTCCTTACAGAGCATCCCATCTCCTCACACGTAGAGAGGGGGAACCCTCCAGGGATGTTCCCGCCTTATCCCAATCTAGCTTTTCCATATTATCCTGACTTGTTACCTGGAGCTTAATAGCAACAAGGCACATAGGCCTTACAGGTTGTGACAAATATTGATGCGGGGGGAGGGTTATGGCCTTTGACCCTATGCAGGTATCTCACCACAAAATGGGTGATGTTACTTTTAGAAAGGGAAAGTTGGTTAGGTATTCTTTTGAGGGCAAGAGGGATTTGAGGGGGAGGGGAGGTGAGAGTTAAGCTTGTTGATGACTCTGATGAAAAAAGGGATGTCTTAAAAGGGTTAAATTATGTCTGGGCAGGATGTGGACCGACTGGTGGGGCTGAGGACGGGTGGACGTACACGGGATCCTGGTTGGATGGCGCGGGGGCGGGGGGGGGACTGGTTCTAGTTGAGGTTATTCTTTTGTTGCTAGTATGTCAATTATGTATGTATATTATTCTTGTGTGGCACTCCAAATGATTTGATATATGCAATGACTGGGTACACAGTGCGGTGGATCTGAAATGAATAAAAATACATTTGTTGTAATATTCTTGGGCGGAGCCTGAGTTGTTTTTCTCAACCCACACCCGTGCGTATCTCTTTACGGCAGGGTTCTTGGGGCCCTCGTATCCTGATCTGGTTACCAAAGTAATTTCCTAGCGACTCCCATATCACGAGTTCCCTCACCTCGATAGGGGGAGGTTACAGGACATTTTTTTATTGCCCCATTGGGGTTATCCTCCTTGGGTATTTTCCCCTTTTATAACTACACACTATCTTTGCTCACACATTTTCCTCTTTATCCTCTGTCCAGGTGTATTACCTGTCTGCACCTGACCCTATTGGCCTGGGATGGAACTTGCAGGGGTAGTCACGTTGTCCCCTATCTGGGGCATCCTGAGCTAAACTACCTATTTAAGAGGCTTCTCTGGTTGTTCCAGCCTCCCTGTGTTTGGGGGTAGGGACTGGATAGCTCTTTCCTCTCCTGCCTACTTGTCCTCCTCACTTTCTTCTATTTTCTTCACCGTTCTCCACTGTCCCTTTCTGTCTCACTTTTTTGCTCTCTTAATCTACCCCAGGCTCTCTCAGGGTCCCTACTGATTTGGCCAGGGAACTACGGGTGTTGGTGTCCTTCATTTGTGCTGGGCCTGAATCAGGGGTTACTTTGGCATATCGCTGCACTCCCCTGTCTGTCCTCACTCTTAACTGCAGGGGATTAAACATATTGTAACGCAGAACTCACCTGTTGAGGGAACTAAAGAAAAAGCATATATTGGTAGCGATGTTACAGGAAACGCATTTTATGGAAGGTGCGACACCTAAACTTCAGAATGGGTCCTACCCAGTCAACTACTACAGCAGCCACCCCTTGGCCTGCAAGGCCAGAGTCGCCATCATACTCAGAAATTATATTGTTTAAATGATCTGCATGGGTGTTTTCTCTTTCTGAAAGGCATTATTACCGACACGCTGTATACATTTGCATCTCTATATGTTACCAATAGGAGACCGGCACAATTTCTCAGGGGAACGTTAACTAAGCTAAAGGACTTCTCAAAAGGTGCCTTGATACTGGGAGGAGACTTTAACACTCCTCTTGACCCACTACTTGATTCATGGTCGGGACATAGCTGCATTTCCCAACTGTGCATTCGCTCCATACGGGGATTGCTGGGAGACATAGGTCTGGTGGATTGTTGGAGGATCCTTAACCCTAACGTCAAAGACTTCACGCATTATTCTGCACTTCATGATTGCTACTCCCATATTGACTATCTCTTCTTTAGACAGGAGGGTCTCTCCTGCCTGTTAAAAGCTACTATTGGACCTGCCACCTGGTCGGACCACGGACTGGTCAGCATAGAACTTGGCTCTTTATTTCAACCCTCGGCTTGGATGTGGAGGCTCAGTGAGGCCTTGCTCTTGAATCTCTCAAGCTTTAGATTTCTATTTTCAGGAAAATAGGACAGTGGAGACTTTGTCAATCTCAATCTGGGAGGCCCATGAGAGTGTCATCTGTACGCATCACCTCACATAAAAAGAAAGCGGGGCTGCAGGAGAGGGCTGACCTTTATAAATAAATATTGAACCTGAAACTCCAACATAAGCAAACTCAATTCATATAAATCTACAGGAAATGTATGCACACCAGCCGACTGCTGAAGGAACTCCATACACGAAGGTACCTTCAATCTTTACAACACTCCAAGGGCTTTGGCTACGCCCATTCGAACAAAGGTGACAAATTCCTAGCGCATCTTTTGAAGGGTAACACTCCCTGCACACAGGTTTGTAAACTACGCCTGTCCTTGGGAACCATGTCCTCATTCCCGAATGATATAGCAGAGGAGTTTAGACGCTACTACCACTCCATATATAACCTGTCCGCACCCGATGGGAACACCAAGTCCACGAAAATCAATGACTATCTAGATACTAATGTCACAAAAACGGTGAGTCCAGAATTCACAGCCATGTTGGATGCCCAGATAGGAGTAGAAGAACTCTCTGCGGCTCTGAACTGTGCCAAAGCTGGCAGAGCACCGTTCCCCAGCGGTTTCTCAATGGGATATTATAAGAACTTCTCATCGGTGCTCCTACCGTGATTAACAAAAGCACTCAATGCCGTTGCAGAGGAGGGAGGGGGGAATTTTGGGGCAGAATCTCTAGCCGTGAACATAATGGTTTGCTCAAACCTGGGAAGGACTTGGTGAACTGCAGCAGCTATCCCACAATCTCGCTGCTGAATGTGGATGCTAAAATATTCACAAAGGTCCTGGCAACTAAACTAAAATCCATTTTGCCGACCTTAATTCACGCAGATCAGACTGGATTCATTCCTGTGTGAGAGGCATGGAATAGCATGTTAAGGCTTTTCTCCACCCAACATCATGCGAGGAAGATGAGGAAATGCCTCCTATTACTATCTGACGCTGAGAAGGCGTTCGACCATGTTAATTGATTATATATGGTTGCCATTCTGAGGAAGATGGGATTGGAAGAGAGATTACTCACTTGGATCACCCCTTTATATAACAAGCCACGTGCCTCGGTGAGGATCAACGTGGTCTTGACAGCCGATTTCCGAATCGGCAACGGAACGAGGCAAGGCTGCCCTCTTTCCCCAGTGTTGTTCGCTATGTCCCTGGAACCACTATTCCAGGTGCTTCGCCGGAATCCCGATGTCCAAGGCTACACCTGGCAGAGTGTGGAACACCAGATCGTTGCCTACGCAAATGACCTTTTTTTTTTTTATATCTAACCTTCGGACCATGCTTCCCTGCCGCCTATTGGAATTTGAAAGATTCGCAGACTTTTGGGCTTCAAGCTCAACTTATCAAAATACGAAGTGCTGAATGTCACCGAGGACTACATTGCCTTGGATTCGCTGTTCCCGTTCCATTGGTGCTTTGGCAAAATGAAGTACCTTGAAATTTGGATGATGACAGATCCATGAGACATCTACCAACATAACTTCATACTTCTGCTGAAAAATGCTGCTGACTGACCTGGACAAGTGGGCATACCCCATGTGACATGGCACAGGCCAGTAGCAGTGATCAAAATTAATATACTCCCAAGGGTTCTTTATCTTCTTCAGACCATCCCACTGACTTTGACAGCATCCCGACAGTAGCCAGTAGCCAGTAGCATCCTGACAGTAGCCAAGATCTTTCCTCCAGCCACACGTATCTAATGACCAGTCATTAGATACAGTGTGGCTGGAGGAAAGGTCTTGGCTATGCCACGATCTGCTCTGCTTACCTAGACACAGGGGGGCCTGGTGTTGACCAACTTTAAAAGGTATCATCAGGCCATGGTTCTGCAGTAAATCCATGAATGGCACGCGGGCGCCCCACAAAGATAGTGGGTAGCTTTGGACAGAGGGGGCATCGACACCTCCCTGGAGTCAGTTGTATGGCTTGGGGGACCTGAGGAGTTGAAACACAGGGGCAGTGGGGAACCGGTATCGTAAACATTACGCACCTGATTGTCGACCCGGCAACAACCGCACATGTTGCCCACGCCCAGTCCCCTTCTCCCGGTAACAAACAATAGCAAATTAGGATACATCCCTATCCATAGGGCCTTATAAGATGGGACACTGGACTCGCTGTTGGAGGGTAGATCTCGGATGCCTCTGGACTCCCTCCGATACATGCAACTAAACTATTATTATAACTCACTCCCACATAAAGAACGGTTGCATAGGGAACTCACCTGGTTTGAGGGCTTCTGTGTATGGGGCTTTACACTTGAAAAGGCAGTCTCTACGCTCTATCAATATCTATTAGTTGGAGTTCAGTTGACAAACAACACCTTCCAAAGGCAATGGGAAGCTCTCATAGGAAAGACTCTTTCAACATCGCCATGGGACAAGGCATTACTGTGGTAGCATAAGAACTCCATCAGTTCTCAATACCAAGAGATGAACTATAAACTCATCTCTCTCTGATATAACACGCAGACATTACTTCATAGAATCTTCCCCACGGTTTCCCCAGCAGGGACGGTGATACACATCTGGTGGGAATGTCGAAGCATCATCCCATACTGGTATATAGTAAAAGATGACGTGAGCGCAATCTTGGGGTATTCGGTCAAATGCTCAGTTGAACTAGCCCTACTGCATATATCATCACAACCTGTCTCACTTTATAAGAAATCAATATTACGCCACGTATTAAATGAGGCCAATGCCCTTATTCCGGTCATCTGGAAACGGACAGAGGCTATTACCAGGGAAGAGTGGATTCGTAAAGTCAAGGACATTCAGGCAGCAGAGGTGTATTATGCTTCAGTAATGGGGAGGGGAACCAGACACACAGAGGCATGGCAACCATGGTTTCTGTTCATGGCTGGGGGCGCACTGAGGGAGCTCGATCTCCTTGGTGACCGTAGCTTTCTCTCATCTACTTCTTCTATCTATATTTTCTCTACTTCTGCTGTCTTACATAATAGGCCCACTCTTAAGTTACTTGGTGTAAGCTTGGAGGAACTCTATGGGGGAGCACCACACTCTCAGAGAGTACTATGTTTGCTATGTGGTTGATTGAGAGACTTCCCAAAGTCATAGAAGCATTGTTACCATTTACTGAATATGGGGATAGTAATCTATAATATATATATATATATATATATATATATATATATATATGCATGGTAATTGATTGTGGAATACTCAATACCAAAAGTACCTGTTTCTATTTTCTATGCTTTCTAAGGAGAGGCCTGCACACTTTCTCTGTTATTCTTTTGTGTACATTATTTTAAAAAATCAATAAACAAAGATTTCCCAAAAATTTAAAATAATTAAAATGTAAACCTCTTTAGTTTAAAAAAACTTCAAAGGGGATATGATAACATTATACAAATATATCCGTGGCCAATACAAACTATTGTGTGGAAATCTATTCACAAACAGGACTTTACATAGGACACAAGGTCATGCATTTAGACTGGAAGAAATAAGATTGTCTAAAGAAAAGGAAAGGTTTTTCTTTTTTTACTGTAAGAACAATAAGGATATGGCATTCTCTACCTGAAGAAGTGGTTTTATCAGAGTCCGTACAGATGTTTAAACATGCATATTTGCAAAAAACAGAATACTAAAGGATATAATTTTTGAATGTAGGGTAAATGCTTTTTGATTCAAGGATTAATCTAACCTTTTCCTAGTTTGTTGCAAAATTGGAAGTGCTTAAACAGTTTTTTTTTTTTTGCCTTCTTTTGGATCAACAGCAAAAAATAAATGTGAGGAAGGCTGAACTTGATAGACTCAAGTCTCTTTTCAGCCCAAGTATGTAACTAACTATAGGCACCCATATCACTTAATCTCAGAGAAGTGGTCTGGATGACATGTGCTCCCCATTCTCGTGCTGGAAGTTTCAACCACAGGATATCAATAATTGTGTCACACATATATTTAACATTTATTTTTTTTAAACCTGTGTTATGTTTGCAATTGTTGGATATACACAAAAGCAGATTATTTGAGTGAGTTTTTCAACAAAAGATCAAAAAGTTAAACTGTAATAATAGTTTTTACAGTCTTCTTTGCTCATATAAGGATACCAAAATTAGTGGAGGGCACTATATTTGTTTTCCTAATGCTATAATGTCCTTTTACTTGTGTGCCAAATTGTTGATTTGAAGTTTTAACATCACTAAATTGTCATGTGTGCAAATTGTGCTTAGCATGCATAAACTAGTCATATTTGTTTGTTAGCAGGCAAAATATAATGTAGCTCTATGCTGCCTTATGGAAAGGTTACCGTGCATACACGGAGATCAAGGAATACATGACTAGAGAGACAAACATGTTTAGAAATACTGGAATTCTGTAAGGATCACTAAAAACTGTATCTCTCTTCTATGACGCATCTCCCTGAGTCTCTTAAAGAGGGCTTAGCGATGGCTGCAACCATGGAACAAGTGTAACATTTATGTACCTGTATTCACTACAAAATATTAATTATACAGTAGGCTATAATACATGTATTTTTTTATTTCAAGTAATAATAAAAAGTGATTATTTTTATTCATTTACCACAACAAACTACCTAACTCCGACCAACAATCTTTTTAAGGCAGAATGAAGAGGAAAAACTAAAAGTGAAAATCCACTAGATTGGACCTATCTAATGAAATATTCCGCTCTAGAGACATTATAAATTGTGTATTTTATATAATAAAAAGATTTTTGGCTATTTTCTGTGCCACTATCCTTTTACACAATTTTTTTTATTTTTTCCTGGCATTTCTCTGATCTTACAACTTGCTTAACAAGCCTATCCTGAGGTGGGGATTATACCACCAACGCTGTCACCGGAGTGCAGTCAGGCCTGCACTTTACTTGTGAGTACATTTTATTTTAAGAACTTCTATATCGTGTCAACAGAGAGCACTATTAGTTGTTTTTACATTCCCTTTTCCCTGAGAGTTGGACAACATTCCCCTCCGGAGGACAAGCATCCATATATCCCATAAGCGGAGATTGTTCCGCTGTATGCCTGTTACACCTGAGCTGGCTATAGCTCATCCAAGTGTGAGTGTAATATTTATATTTGTAATCCACAAATATTAACTTTTTACACTCCGCACGATTGGTCTTCTCTTCTATATTACGAGATGAACAGGACTACTATAAACAGAGAAGAGACCCTACCATCTAAAGCATTGCCAAAGACATGTTCCACTACAGTTCAACCTCCAATATATATTGGGACTATTTTGTAATTCTTAAGTATTTTTAACTTTATTTATATACACTTTTACTATTTGTCTTTTAGTACTTATTTATTCCTTTTGGCGCAGCCTTTCATTTCTATTGTTGTTATCACATTCACATAAAACTTACATTTTCAGAATCAGCATAATCCAAATACAAACATACGTCAAAATCATACAAATTGGTCCAGTGGGTCAAAAGTTAGTTGGAAGTCCCTTTGTGACCATCTACAAGCATGGCTTGGGTGTGGTAAGCCAATTACCTCCAGCATACAGAAAATAGCTCTATTCACAACAACAGTAAAAACACATAAAAATACATAATTCCTATTATACTTAACAGAACCCCCACATTCAACCTATCCCCAGATA